ATATATATATATATATATATATATATATATATACATATCGGCGCACCGGGTCCGGGGGCCCGGGGCCGGGACCTCGACCGCAAATGTGCACCCCGGGGGGCCCGGAGGCTCGTCGGGGCTTGCCGGAGGCCTCCCCAGTCAGGCAAGACGGCCCAAGAAGCGCCCAAGACGGCCCAAGAAACTACCAAGAGGCCTCCAAGAGGGCTCCGAGATGCTGAAGATGGCCTCCAGACGTCCAAGGACGCCCCCAAGAGGCCCCAAGAAGCCTCCAACATGCGTCCCAAGAGGGCCCCTAGACGCAAAAAATTGCCCATTCCTTTCGTAAAACGTACATTTTCAACAAAGTTGCCTTTTGGGCTTTCCGACGTTACAGGACGGCCCAAGAGGCGCCCAAGACCGCCCCAAGACGGCCCAAGAAGCTTCCAAGAGGGCCCCAGGACAGCCCAAGAGGGCCCCAAGACGGCCCAAGAGGCGCCCAAGATGGCCCAAGAGGGCCCCAAGACGGGCCCAAGAGGGGGCCCAGAGGGGGACCACGAACCGCAAGCTCGAGCCTTCCGCCCAAGAGGCCGCCAGGAGGCCCCCAGGAGGCCCCTCAAGAGGCCCCAGGAGACCCCAGACGTCCAAGGACGCCCCCAAGAGGCCCGAAGAAGCCTCCAACATGCGTCCCAAGAGGGCCCCTAGACGCAAAAATTGGCCCATTGCCTTCGTAAAACGTGCATTTTTCAACAAAGTTGCTTTTTGTGCTTTCCGACGTTACAGGACGGCCCAAGAGGCGCCCAAGACCGCCCCAAGACGGCCCAAGAAGCTTCCAAGAGGGCCCAGGACAGCCCAAGAGGGCCCCAAGACGGCCCAAGAGGCGCCCAAGATGGCCCAAGAGGGCCCCAAGACGGGCCCAAGAGGGGGCCCAGAGGGGGACCACGAACCGCAAGCTCGAGCCTTCCGCCCCAAGAGGCCGCCAGGAGGCCCCCAGGAGGCCCCTCAAGAGGCCCCAGGAGACCCCAGACGTCCAAGGACGCCCCCAAGAGGCCCCAAGAAGCCTCCAACATGCGTCCCAAGAGGGCCCCTAGACGCAAAAATTTGCCCATTCCCTTCGTAAAGCGTACATTTTCAACAAAGTTGTCTTTTTGGTTTTCCGACGTTACAGGACGGCCCAAGAGGCGCCCAAGACCGCCCCAAGACGGCCCAAGAAGCTTCCAAGAGGGCCCCAGGACAGCCCAAGAGGGCCCCAAGACGGCCCAAGAGGCGCCCAAGATGGCCCAAGAGGGCCCCAAGACGGGCCCAAGAGGGGGCCCAGAGGGGGACCACGAACCGCAAGCTCGAGCCTTCCGCCCCAAGAGGCCGCCAGGAGGCCCCAAGGAGGCCCCTCAAGAGGCCCCAGGAGACCCCAGACGTCCAAGGACGCCCCCAAGACGCTTCGCGTCACCAATTTCTTCTCGCAACGATTCCTGGGTCTGTGACTCGACAGAACCTCAGCGCGCGCGAAGCGCGCGCGTGGTTCTAGTATATATATATATATATATTTATATGTATAAATATATTTAGGATATTTTTTCTATTACATAAAAAACAGTTTTTCGTCTCACATCGGCCTGTAGGGGGGACATGGCCCGACCCAGGGAAACACAGATCGGCTGCGAGCGCGGGGGGGGGCAGGCGAAGGCGAAGGCCTTCTCAGCAGGAGGCGGGCCTTCTCGGAAGCCCTCGCGCCTGCCGAGAGGTCTTCTTTTTGCCTTCGGGGAGGGCGTAGCACACTTCTCGGAAGGCCAGGGGACCTCCGGGCCTTCTGAGAAGGCCGTCTCTTTCTCTCTAGGCCTCCCAGATGGGGTCCGAGCAGATGGGGTCGGGCGATCGCCGCCGCACCGCCGCTGCATCGACGCTGCGGCTCGATGTGGAGCCCGTGCTTCGCCACGCCGACGTGTCGCCGATGTGTCGGCGATGCATCGCCGACGCATCGACGGTGCATCGGCGATGCATATGGCGATGCGGCGCGGTCCTTCGGCCCCATCTGGGAGGCCGCCGTTCGCACTTCCCCATATTTTCCTATAGTTTCCTATAGTTTCCCATATTCAGTTCACATAGTTCCCATATTTCCCATAGTTTCCCAATTCCCCCCTGGCTCGCCGCCGCACGCCTCGGCGGCGGCGCGCCCCGAGGCGGCGCGGGTGCGAAACGCCGGGGCGGGGGCACGCGCCCGCGCCTCCTCGGGCCGCCGTCGCCCGAGGGCCTGGCCGAGGCCGCACCGCGCGCAGGCGACGGCGCCACCGCCACGGCACGCCCACGGATAAAAACCATGCCACTGCGTTGAAGTCGTGCGTGCCCCCCTACAGGGGGATTTTCGACGAAAAATCAACATACCCCCAAAATGCCTCCGAATGGGTCAACAACTATTCCAAAAATAGCCCCCAGACTATTTTGGGACTATGTTTTTTTTGTTGTTTTCTTTTTTTTTGGGGGTATTAGTGGGGTATTTTTCTTTCGTCGAAAATCCCCCTGTAGGGGGACACGCCCGACGTAACACTGCGTAGACATAATTCCTCTCCCTATATTTTTATAAGCCCGGGCGGTGGGACCCCCCCCCCACCCCCAAAGCCGGACTCCCAGGATCTGGGGCTTTGGGACCCTCTGGACGGGCCTCCAAGCGACACCTCCGGCCTCGCAGGGCGTGGTGCGCTCCCGAAACGACCCCAGAGAGCCCCAATACGGTCCACGACGACCCCCAAGAAGCCGTCATACCCCCAAAGATCGTCCCGAAACGTCCCAAGAGGCCTCCAAGAGCACTCCGAAGGCCCCAATTAATTTTTGTTGGTTTTTGGTGAATTTTGGGGTTCTCCTCTTTTCGGCTTCCCGACGCTCCAAGACGGCGGTCTTCTGGGCGTCCGAAGCCGCCTGGGAGGCTCCAAAAACGCCCCACAACCATCCGAAAGGGCTTCCAGGCAGTCCAAGAGAGCCCCCAAACGGCACAACAGGGGTCCAAGATGGCCCTCAGAGAGCCCCATGGCGGCCCGAGATGGCCCCCAGATACCCTCCGAAGCATTCCAAATCGTGACCCGGTCGTTCACGGAGACCGCGGTTGGAGGCAGGGTGGCCCGAGGAAGCCCCCAGAGGCCCCCAGAACACGCCCAGGAGGCCTCCAGAAGGCTTTTAGAACGCCTGGAACAATTTTTGTGAGGCCCCCAGAGGCTCTCCAAGGAGGGGCCTCCGCAAAAAAAGCTGAGGAGGATGGGGAGAATGCGCAGGGCATGGCAAAAATGAGGAAAAAGGAGCATGGAGGCAGGATGACGAATAACAGCAATAATGCCGGCAAAGGCAACAAGGCGTGATCGCTGAATTGTCGGCTCGACCCTC